CGGACCAGCCCCCTGGAGCTCTCACTCCTCCTCTCAGAATCTCCTGATGGGACAGCAGGTGTCAGAATGAGGTGCAAAGATCAGAAATAGGTGATGGTTTAAAAGGTCTGTGGTCTCTAGGTGATGCTATGCTGGATGGGGGAAAAGTACAGAAAACATTGAGGGGAAGAGCTCGTCCTTCGTATGGGGCTGGGAGCCTGAACCCGCCTCCCGCACCCGGCCAGGACCTCTCAGACACGGCTCCGGAGCTCCGCACCTGCACAGCCAGCTCGGGAAACTTCGACAGGCTGGTTACGCTGGGCTGCATTCTAAAGGCGGAGAAGCAAAGAAAGGGGACTCACGTCTGTATATGAAGCTACCAACCCGGGGAAGATTCTGACAGGGAAGAAGGGGCTGGAAATTCAGCCCCAAATTAACACGTTGCAAAATATGAACTCTCCCTTTTTATTCCGTTTTCTCTATCAATAAAGTAATCAGATTTTCGAGTACACTCCTGAAGAACTATTTAAGGAATGCACAAAACCCACAGCGCTCGGGGCGCCTGGGTGGCTCAGTGGGTTAAGCCTCTGCCTTCGGCTCAGGTCATGATCCCAGGGTCCTGGGATCGAGCCCCACATCCGGCTCTCTGCTCAGTGCAGAGCCTGCTTCTCTCTCTCTCTGCCTGCCTCTCTGCCTACTTGTGATCTCTCTCTGTCAAATAAATAAAATCTTAAAAAAAAAAAAAAAAAAAACCAACCCACAGCACTCCAGCCCGGATCTAGTCCTCTCCAATGAGGCAGCCGCCGTTCAGCTGGCCAAGCGACGAGCAGCCAGGCCAGCGGACGGAAAAGCAGGTCTGTAAGCATGTATACCAGGGACACCTCTACAGAAGCGATACATCATTTAGATGTGTTACACGAGTGAATCATCGCCGTGCTTCCAGGTCTCTCGGGTCAGACAGGAGGTGCTGGGGCTCAGCGGAGCAGAACCCAGGAGTGTGCGGCCAGTGTCTCATCGAACGCCAGGGAGACGACGATGCTCACGGCAGCCAGAACTCCTGGGGTCAGCTCCGTCCACGCGGGGCCTGGGCAACGGAGGCGCCCCCCCATGCCTCCCAGTGGCTGTCGAGGAGCGTGTGACCGGAAATCAGCGATCCAGTAATAAGTGCAAGCTCCCCGTCAGCTTCTGCTAAGACCCTCATGCCGGTCACGCACACACCGAAAGCCGGCCGAGAGCGGGGTCCCTCTTCTGCTGTTCTGTGTTCGTCTGGGCCCCCTCATGCCCTGCACAAAATCGTGAGTCTCACAACGCACTTGAACACTGCGCTCACTTTCCTCGGGGTCTCTGTCCTTGGTTAACCGCTGACCAGGACTTAATGGACTATCCCTGCTTTCCGGAGACTCAGCACTTCAGGTTAGGAGGAGTGAGGAAGCTGGGGAAAGCTTTACACTAACATTGTGTCCACAAGATTTAACTCCTAAAACTATTTCCTTAAAAGCTGGAAATTTTTTTCTTTCCCATCTCAAGTCTGCAAACTCCAAGTGCTCAAGGAAAGATCCAATTGGAAGAGACGGAGTGACCGTGAATTCATCTTAAATGAACGTATTAGAAGAGTATTTTTAAAAAGTCACGGTCACTTTCAAGCAGCCCCCAAACCATTTCCCCATCTCCCCTTGTGCACAGTGAGGCTACGTCCACTCCAGCAGCAGGAGTTAGTCCCTTGCTCTGTGAGGCCGACATGTTCTCCACAGTGACCTGCCGTAAACAGAGGACCAAATCCCAACACTGGGTCACAGGAGACAAGAGGCAGAAAGTCACATAGAAACCAAGTCAATCTGGGGAACTATTTGGTCACAGGCTTCCACAACGAGGCTCTCCTCCGTCACCCGTCTGTCCCACGTATGCACGTGAGCACACACAATCTCTCTAGGGAAGCTGGACGTACACACGGACGAGGTAGCCCTCTCCGGGTGATTAGCTCATAATTAAGCAGGTGCCCTGACGTCCTAGTGAACGTACCAAAGCAGCCGAAGAGTGACCACTCCCATCGCTGAATCTCAGTGTGTCCAACCTCAGCACAACAGCTTCGTTTTTTTCCCCACAAACAGTGACAAGATAGAGAGTCAATATTTGCAAAGGCTCCCCTGTTTCACCTGCACCCCCACGGGGACCTGGAGCCCGGCAAGCTCCCTCCTGCCCCGGGTCACGCTGGTGCCGTGGGGGGGACAGCTTTAACCCTGCTGCCCTCACAACGCCTCCAGGGCGCTTGAGGGCAGCTGTATCGTGCCCGTTCTGGGCACAGGGAGACTGAGGTCACAGAGCCTGCCCAGATCTGAACTCAGATCGGCTGGACCCACAGCCTCTCCGTCCCAGTAGCTGTTGCTGAGACACTTCTGGGTTACGTGCTGACGAAGGTCAGTGGTGAAGTCAGTCGTCTTCTCTCTGGGAAACACACAGGGCAGATGGTGGAATGGAACTGAATGGAACTGGGCTTGAAAGCAGGAGGATTTCACAGACTCGGGGTGCTGTGGACAGTGGAGAGGCCCCTGGGGTATGACTCCCAGCTCGGGGAGGGGGTGGGAGCTCCAGCCTCCAGGGGCAGGGGTCTCACGGGTGAGGGGAAGAGCCAGGGCGGCGTGTCGGCCAGCGCGCCGGCCTGACCTAGCCGGGAAGGCCCATCACAGGGGGTGACGGCAGTGGATGACAGAGGACATGAGAGCGTGGGCTCCTGGCCACTGACGCTCACAGACCACACTGAAGGAGGGGCAGACGACCACCTCCCTCCGCTCCCGGCCTCCTGTCCTCCGCCTGCAGGAGAGGCGAGAATGTGAATCAGCTGGGCTGCAGTGTGGGTGGGCAGTGCAGGCCCCGTGCAGGAGGCGTTCTTAGGAGAGGCCCGGCCAGGGCGGATGCAGGGGTCTGCCTGCCCCGCCTGCCCGCAGGGCCCTCTGACACTCGTCAACATGGCCAGTAACCGTGACAACCAGCAGCTGCTGGTGATGCATGACTGACAGCAACTCCCAGCTCCGCAAGCGCTTCTACTTCTGTCCCCGATGGACGGCAGAGAGCACACAGCTCAGGACGAGGGCGTCATTTAAGAGGTTTACGGACCTCGATGATGGGAGAACCGGTCGGTCTCCATGAGCACGTACCACATCTCAGGCACTGGCTCCCGCCAGCGTGCACAGCTGTGCCGCGCCCCCCTGTGCCACGCTGCACCCTCTCAGCGGGAAGAACTGCCCCCTGGGACGTCCGCAGGGTCAGTCCCAGAGACAGTGGTGACAGTGACAGTGGTGCCTCCGCTTTCCGTTCGAGCCCTCCATCCCCTCCGTTCGACCATCCCCAACGCTCCAGGACGCACGTGACACACGGGGCTCGGACGGTCGTCCGCTGCTCCTCCCGTGTCAAAGGACCCGTGTTCTTCCGCGTGCCTTCACGGAGCCTGCCTGTCCCGCGTGTGGGGCCGGGCCGCAGACGACCGCACAAATGCTACCCCAGCAGGGACTGGGGGAGCGACTGCTCAGCTTCGGAATCATAAAAGGTCTGATATTGTACCGTTTCTAAGTACCTTCTGCAGAGGGTAAAGCCTAGAAGTCCCATCTGGAAATGCTGATGACGCTGCAACAAGTTACTTCAACTCTTCAAAGCCAAATGTTGCGTCGGAAGATTATCCGAGGGAGGACGCGGTGCTGCCCGTGTCTGCCCTCGGCCTCTCAGAGGGGCGTCTAGCTCGGGGCTCGAACCCTGACTCCCCTTGCACAGCAGCGTCTAAAACGAGGCCCACGGGGACCAGGCAGGCTTCACGCGGGACACGTTAGGGGAACGCAGGTAGCCCTCTCGTCTCCGCATACTGCATTTGGACCATCCGTGTGCAGCTGTCCCCCATCCCATGCACAGCTTCAGTCCGTCCCTGGGACGCCGGCATACCACTCCCCAGACTGTGCTCAACAGACACGGCCTGACGTCCACGGGGCCCAAGAGTCCCGCTGGGGATGCCCGGTGTGATGGTGGGGCCTGGAGGGTGTGTGCATGGCCGCCTGGACCGCTCCTCAGCCTCCACAACCCCACTCCCCCACACACGGACGCGGGTCATCCGGGGAATGCCGGGCCACTCGCTCCGTTGGGCAAGGCCCCTGTCCACTAACGGTGACCGCTGGCTCCCTCGTCCCTTCACTCAACAGCATGACGACCCACGTGGGCGGGTGAGCAGAGACGAGACACAGTGTCTGGCCGTCACAGAGCCTTCATCAGGCGCCTGCTAGTCCTTTAGAGGAGACCCCCGTATGCAGAATCACGCTCCTGGGTCCCAGCCCAGGAGCAACCACGAGCCGGCATCACCACAGTCACTCAGTGGGGAGCCTCGGGCATCCAGGGACGTCCTCCTGGCTGGGGCGGAAATTCCCGGCAAGGCTCTCATCTTGCTTGTACCTCCGCCTCCTTCCCCCACTTGAGGAAAATGGACAAACGCTCAAACGCTCACCTTTCGTTTTTGCTCAAGGCTGCTTGGGGAGCTGCACAGAAGGTGACTTCACCCGTGTTTTAATTTTTTATGGAAACACCTTCATACAAAATTTCAATTCCCATAAAGAAATGTGGGCAGACTGCGTTGGGCTCCCCTCGCTCCCTCTCCCATGCCCCCTGCTCGAGTTCCCTCTCTAGCTGTCTGTCAAATGAATAAATAAAATCAAAAATAAAAAAAAAAAAGAAAGAAAAAAAAAGAAACGTGGGCAGAGTGCTGGCAGCTTTAAAAGGTGCCACATGGTGCCCAGGCTTCTGGACAGACCGTTAGAGAGGCAACTGCGGTCACCCTGCCCGGTCTGCGGCGGTCTTAGCGCACAGCGGACTGCCCCAGTGGGAACCACACGGAGGTGGAGGGGGGCACGGTTCGAGCCAAGTGGCGCGGCTCTCCGGCTTGATCCACCGGCAACGTGCGCACAGTGGACAGACGCTGCGCTCCTTCCCTTGCTAGACGGCCCCTGCACGCTGGGCAGCCAAGAAAGAAACCCCCAAGCGCACCGTACCTGTCGTGTCTCAGAGCTCGCATATCAACATAGACGGTGGTTGGGTCAGGTCCCGAGGTCCCCTGCAAGCAAGGACACAGCGCGGTTAACTCACGTTTGTGTGGGAGCCCCCTGGGTCTGTGCTTCCTACCAGTTAGCGAGAATTTCTTTGGTAAAATCGCAAACCGAACAAAAACTGAAAAGCACTAGACCCACACTTCTCTCCAAGATACCCATTAGTTTCTAGTTTAGTAACCTCAGTTCTGAAAGGAGCGTCTTAGTAGGACTATGCTGGACTTCCACATGGCTTGACTGTCCATCCTGTCTACAAAGGCTGGAAGGAAAGAGGTGCTGTGCGTGTTGCTGAATAAAGAAGGCTGAAGCTGCTGAGACGTGTGGCTAGCAGGCGTCGAGGGCAGGGAGCTCCGTTCCCGAGAAGCTCCTGCTACACGCATCCCCAAAGGTGTGCTTCTAGAGGTCAAGACACTGACGCAGAACGTGGGACAGAATGTGGGACTCGGACTGACAGCTCGAGAAGGAAGAGGTAAGAGATAATTATCTTGTTCTGTTTAGCTCTGCCTCTGCCTTGGCTTTCCTCCAGCCGAGGGAGGTTATTTTCGTCTGGGACACGGGTTGGGGAGGTGGTGCGCGATCAGCAGTGCAGTCCCCCAGGAGCGCTCCGCGACCGAGCCACCGAACACGGGGCGCAGACGTCCGGTCTTGACAGCACAAATCCCTTCAAAACCTGCCAGGCTGACGTCTGACCGGTGACTTCCTGCCACCTCCGTGCAGTGCAACCACAGCTACGCTTTAAACCAAGAATTGTAGCTGTTTCTCGGGAAGGCCAGGTGATACCTTACCTAGAAGAAGATGGAGCCCAAAACAAATTTCCAAAAACTGAGAGAGCCCCTCAGAATTTACTTGAAGAACTGTGCAAAAATTCTTCAGGAGAGGATCTTAACCTTGTTTCATGAAAGACTAAGCTAAACACGGCTTCCCGGCCGGCCGCCGGTCTCCAGCCGCGAGCACAGAGCGCCGTCCGCCTCCGCGTGCAAGCTCACGCCCTGTGTTACGCTGAGAATGTTCTCTCCCAGCGACGGCCACTCACGGAGCTGTGTGACCGACCAGCACCGAGGGCAGCACTGGTCCGAGGTTCTGAGTAACGGAAAGCACATAACCACAGGCGGCCAGTTAAAAAGTAAACAAATCGGAAAACAGGTCCCCAAACGTGGGACGTGACGTCAAACGGACAAGACCCCAGGCCGGCAGAGACCAGCAACTGTGCGTAACGGGAGCGTGTGTCACGAGCGTGCGACGTTTGAGGAGGTCTGAGAGTGCACGTCACACGGGGCACCAGTCCGTCCGTGGCCCGCGCCCCGAGCCAGGCTCCGCACTCGACTTCTAGTGTGTCCCAGTGCTGGAGGCTGATGAGACAGTGGTGGGAAGGGGGCACTGGTGTGGATGAAGAGGAGGGTCCCCTATCTGCTGGGCCAGCTTCCACAGCCTGTGGGGCTACAGCGGCAGGGGCGGGCGAGAAGAAAGGAGAGAACACTGGACCAACAGAACCACAAACAAGCAACACACGGACACGCAAATGAAACAACCCAACAATTAAAATGGGATGAGGAGGAGGGAGGGGAAGGGAGGAGAATGCAAAAAAACAGGGAACAGAGTAAAAAGAAGATCAAAACCAACGTCAAATATGGAAATCGTTAAAATCAACCACTGTACCATTAAAGGTAAAAACAGAACAAAACTTAGATGTCGACAAACCACAGAGCAACAGAGGAGAGTGACGGATGACGGTCTCGGGCCAACACCCCCAAGTCACGCGTTCACCACACGAGGTCGGCGGTAGCACCCGGTGTTTGGGTGGTAGGAGGCGTGTGGGCCCTCTTCCCTCCTGAAGGGAGGACGCGGCGTGAATTTTACGGCAAACTGCTGGAATACAACTCCTCCGGCGCGCGCGTTTCAGCGAGGGGTTCCGCCGACATGCGGGCTGGTCCCGAGAAGCCAGGGCAGGAATGGACACAGATTTTCTCTTCCCGCCGATGTTCCTGTAACACCCGTGTCTGTCTCGTTCACGTCACCGTGTGTAAGCAGGTGACACGTAAACAGGTGACACGAAACAGGTGTGACTCAGCTATTTCCATCACCACAGGGCGTCTGGTCAACAGTGGGCTCTTGGCAGGGTTTCTGGGGCGTCAGAAATTCTTTGTGTGTGGTTTTTCCACCGTGTGGGGTCGGCGCCCGAAGCTCCGCGTGGCTCCCGGTGCACTGCAGCTCCAGGCTCCAAGGACAGTCGTGGCGGGCAGCCGGATGTGCTCCCGGCTGAGTCGGAACGCCCGGCCCGGCTCCGGCGCGAGAGAACCGACGAGAGACGCCCAGGTCGGACGGAGGCACGAAGGAACCGCGCCCCAGGCTTGCACGGGGGCCAGACCTGCATGGGGGCCAGGCCCACTGTCGCAGTAGGGAGCTCCCCATCCCGAGCGCGTGCCCGAGTCGGCCCCGCCACGACGCTTCCTCCTGCTTTGTTCTGTCCCGTGGTTTTGGGGCCCCTCCACCCGCTTAACATCACTGACATGACCGCGGCGGAAGCCTTCCGGGAGCCATGCAGGGCGTTGGAACGCGTGGGTTTCCCCAGGTGAGCGGGCACGGATGCCAACCCTCCCAGCAGCGCCATCGGGGCCCTGGATGTGGGACAGTCATTGGCGCCATCTCTGACCCAACCCCACAGCCCCCAAACCTCACCCCGCAGGGTCCTGGCGCAGTCAGTCCCGGGAGGACAGCTGCAAAATCAGGTCATCTGCGGGTCTCCTGGGCTCGGCAGTGACCCCCCCACCCCCAGCCGCACGGAGACGCTGCTGCCACCCGGGGCCTTTGAGAACAGCACTGCCTGCAGATCCAGACTGAGGTCTCCGTCGCTGCGTCCCTGCCTTCCTTGCGGGCACCGCGGCGACCAAGGCAGTGGCTTTCTGGGCCAGGAGCTGTGGCCCGACACCAAGAAGGAGTGGCCGGGAACAAAGTCTGCACCTGGAGGCGCGTGCGACTTTCACCTGACCTACCCAAGCCCAGTGCAAGGTTTGCAATAATCCCCCTCACGATTCCGCAAATCCCAAATATTCCAAATAGTAACTGGAACAAAATGAGCCCATCTTTTCTCTAGATTAATTTAATTCACAGATTTTGTTGTGGTGCTCAAGGGTCAGTTTTCTCAGAGAACAATATGTATGACTAAGAATAAATTTCCCAACTTGTAGGCACACAGAAGGGACAGCTCGGCATCTGCAGCAAAATCCCCTGTCGCATCGATGAGGGATACACGGAGGAAGAGTGAAGGGTTAGCTTATAGGTGTTTCCAGACTTCAGAAGTCCTAAGGTACGAAAAATGGAGATTTCAGGATACGTACGAGGGAGTGTGTATTAACAAAATTTCCTCCCTTGCACAAAATCGACTCTGCCACAAACGTAAGCTGGCGTTTCTGTACATAAGGAGAGCTCTCATGCGCGGAAGTGCTCCCAGGTACCCAAAGTCATCAAATATTTGCAAAAAAGGACGAGCAGGAAAGAAAACTCACTCATTCCAACTGGAACTTCCTCAGGACGGAAGACAGAGCATGTCTGAGATTTCAGGTCGCACTAATGGAAAAGGTCTGCCCTGAAGAGGTCAGCTGTACAGCAGCTACGTCGCAGATGGACACATTCACACTAAAAATCCTTCTTTCTCTGGTATAAAAGTACGATGTCAGTTAGGCACCGAACGCTTCTTGGAACACATCGGTTATACTTAAATCTCCGCTCAAGAGATACAGACTTCATCCTAACCCCAGCGCAGAGCACCCAACACCTCACCCCGGTGTGTCGCTAACCAGCCACGGGGTCGGCATGACCTGGTATCAGCCCACGCCCCGCAGGCTCACGTAACCAACTCCTGAGTGGAAATGCGTGCCACCAAGGCAGGCATCCGGCGCAGTGATGTTGGACGTATCTACTGCGCTGGGTGTTGGAGGAGCCGCGGCAGTTACCATAAACGGGGGCCGGGGAGGCGGTGTCCCCCAGGGCGGGTTTGGGGAGCACGAAGCAGACCCTGGGCACAGCAGGGGCTCATCGCGGACGGCCTCGGAGCAAGGGTCCCACCTGCAGGACTGCAGCCGGCTCCCCTGGCGCTCCCAGCTGACCTGTGCAGCCGCTGTGACCGTCTCACCGTTTTAACTAAGGCGTAACTTACAGACAACCAAACGCACGGGATTTCCACGTTTGACTACAGGAGTCTGGACGGTCACATACACCCACGTAACGCCCCCCGCCCCCGAAAGCACATAAAGACTCCTTCACCTCCGACCCCAAAAGGCTCCCGCTGTGTGATCTCTCACACCACACATTCATCTATTATCGGATCGGCATAAAATAACACAGCGTGTGTTCCCTTGGGTCGGCCGTCGCTGCGCCCGGCGGCTCTGGGGCCCGCACACGGCGTCTGCGGAGCAGCTTGCCCCTCCACACTCTGGGACGCGCGCTGCTGTGTGAACGTGTCATCTGTACCTGCCCGTCCTGCTGCTGGGGGGCATGTGGGTCCTTTCCAGTCTGGGGCGATCGCAGCAGGTTGTGCTCTGGGTGCGCATCCCGACATGCTGGCTCCCCGGGCTGACGCGCACGGAGCTGCGGGAGAAACTGATCAACGTGTCCCTGAAGCAGCAATGATGAGGGGTTCCGGCTGCTCCACACCATCTCCTCTAGTACCGTCAGCCCTGCTGATCGAAATCGTTCTGGGCTGACATGTGGAATCACTGTAGTTTTTTTCAAAATGAAAATCAGGATTTCAATGGAGCACATGTTGTGCCTTGAATCATTTTTTGGAAGCTCATGAGCAAACGGCAGACACACCCGCAGGAGCCACACGTCCCTGTCCTGCGCCATCCTGCGCCGTCCTGCACGTCCCTGTCCCGCACAGTCCTGCGGGCTCCAAGCTGCCTGCGCGAGCTGTCCGTCCACACGCTCCTGGAGTGATGCATCCGGAAGACGCTGAAAGCATTCTCTGCACCTCTCCGTCCTCTGTGGGTCTCCTTCTGCCGAGCATGTACTC